CGCCACAAGCGAAACACATCGAAGCCTAAATCGCGCCAACAAAATTCCGAAGTTAAAGCAGCATATTATATAGAATAGCTCCGAACTACCAATCGGAGCGCTGGCCGCTTCCCGGGCAGAACCCCTTGCCCGGCGGGAGATCTTCCCTTTTCCTTCCACTCGCCACAGTGGTGACCCCGACGTGATATGAACACGCTACCAACAACCTTTAGATACTACAACTTCAAACCTACCTTCGTTATCATCCTCAAGTACCACATTCATTCGCTTCCGAGCAGATATTGTCTGCAGTCTTCACATTCTGCAAGCCATCTAGCTTTATAAAGTTTCATCGCAGCACTGGAATAATAATGCTTCCTGTTCCTTCAAGCTACTCTCTGCGCTATAGTGTTCGGCAAGGCTCTGAGCCTTACTGCTCGCCTATGCTTCACGGCACTCTCGCAGATTACTTGCCTTCTTCTCGACTCACCGCAGACTACAAGGCAATTCCTTGGCAATTGCAAATTCATCGACATCTAGACTGCACTATCGACCTCCGGTCTGAGCAGGGGGGTGATATGGCGGGGCTGTCGTCACGCCACAAGCGAAACACATCGAAGCCTAAATCGCGCCAACAAAATTCCGAAGTTAAAGCAGCATATATAGAATAGCTCCAAACTACCAATCGGAGCGCTGGCCGCTCCCCGGGCAGAACCCCTTGCCCGGCGGGAGATCTTCCCTTTTCCTTCCACTCGCCACATAACAAAAGATTGCTCAAATCGCAAATTATAGGGTCAAATGATAAAATATTTTATCATTTGACCCTATAATTTGCGATTATTTACGATAAAATATGAAAAATGTTAAAAAAAGGTTATAACAACGTCAATAAAATTACACTATATAAACAAGATAAAGCAGTCTAATAATAAAATAAAAACAACGTGGCATATTATTCGAGAACGCACAAACAAAGTGAATTTAAAGATAAAATCAAATATTAAATTAAATATCAACAACCAAATTTCTTCTAACCCAAAACAGATCGCCGATAAATTTAATGATTACTTCACCAATATTGGTGAAACAATTCATCCACAAGCAAAGGGTCTTCCTGTTCTATATCCATCAGAAAACTCAATATTTCTAGGCAGAGTACGATTTGAAGAAATACTTAAAATATTAAATAGTATAGAAAATAAACTAAGCCATGGTGTTGATGAGATTCCCCCAACATTGTTAAAACAGTGTGCAAGCGCTTTAGTATATCCATTAATATTATTGGTAAATCTTTTGAAGAAGGCGTATTCCCAGATATACTAAAAAGTTCACTCGTGAAACCCATTTATAAAAAAAGGTACACAAACGGACCCAGGCAACTATCGACCTATTGCCTTACTACCCACAGCTTCCAAAATATGTCAGAAAACATTATACGAACGCGTCTAAATTCTGCGAAAAATATAATATCTATAGTGAAAGTCAAAACAGTTTCCGCAAAAACAAATCAACAGTTTTAGCAATTTATAATTATGATTATTCAAAAAATACATAATATAATTAACGATAAAAAATATATAATATAGTAACGATAAAAATATAGGAATATTACTAGACATGTCAAAAGCATACGAAACAGTGCAATATAACATATTACTAAATAAATTATATGACATAGGAATCAGAGTCCTGTGCTACAATCTGTTAAAATCATATTTACATAATAGAACGCAAATAGTAGAAATAGCGTACTTCAATGATAAATTACACAAAATTGAAAAAATTAGATCCGATACTAAAACTATTAAAGCCTCAATACCTCAAATCAGCGTGCTGGGGTGTCTTATGTTTTTAATTTACATTAATGACGTTGCAGAAGCTCTGAACGAATACTGTGTCATATTCGCGGACGATATTTCTATTCTTATATCAAGCCAAAGTCCAATAAATGTAACAGAAAAAATTAACAGCGTATTATTCAAAACACCGGACTGGCTAACTAAACATAACCTGCGGATAAACTTATCAAAAAACTAAAATAATATCTTTTCATCCATACCAAAAACCAAAATTAGATATAAAAATAGATAATGACGGCTTCACTATAGATACTGTTAACTAGCACACACTACTAGGCCTAATAATAGATACCCATATTACTTGGAAACCACACATAGAAAAATTACATAGAAAGTTAAGCAGTTTTATGTACGCATTACGGGAAGTAAAAAAAACAACAGATATAACCACCGCTATAACAACCTACTACGCGTATGCACATGCATGGCTCAGCTACGGCATTGTCCTATGGGGAGGCAGTACTGATGCCCCAAGTTTATTAACTAAACAAAAAAAAACTAATACGAATCATAGCTAACATACAAAACACAGAAAGCTGAAAGCCTTATTTCAAGAAGTATAACATTTTAAGCCTGCCCTGTATCTATATTTTAGACCAACTATGCAAATTTGTCAAAAAAAATCCAAGCTTCTACACAAACCGAGATGACATCATATCTAGGAATCTAAGACAGAGAAACAAACTAGTGCTGCCAATTTCAAAAGTAAAATTTCATTCTTCCAGCCCATTCGCCATGTCTATAAAAGTATATAATAAATTACCCGAATATATAAAAAACATTAAAAACGAAAAACAAAAGAAAGACGTAAAAAATTAAAGCAAGTACTTATAAACAAGTATTACTATAGTGCTTCTGAACTTTTAGAAGATAAAAGTATGCTATAATATAGATATGTAAATATAAATATGTTAGGTAATAATGATATGCCATCCTACTAAATGAATTACAATAAAAAAATCCTAATAAAATTTAAAATGATTCAAATAATTTAATAAAAATTGCTAATTATACTACCTAATTATAATAATGCCTTAAATGTCAAAATCAATTCATTAACAATTATAATAACCGTATTTAAAATTCAATGTGTTTATGTTTAAATAATATAATAAATTTTAATATTAAATAATTTAATATTAAATAATTTAAATTAAAATTATTTAAAAATAACAATAATTATAATAATAAATGTTCCTTCTTCATAATATTATTGTGCCCATCAGGGCCCATAGAGATACCATAAAACTATGTAACACCTTTTGTAACCTATGGAATGCAATAAAGTTACTGAGCATTGAGTAGATCGGACCAAAACTAACAATTAAAAGCTGAAGGTACTCCGGGTTAACTCTGACATCGGGACGTCAATCACCTCAGTCCCCGAAATACCCGAAACGTCGGGAACCAATATAAAATAAGGTAATTAAACGCAATAGAATCCGTAAAAGTAGTTTTATTCAATGTGTAGTGTTCGTGTAAATATAAGAAATCATTAATACATACATACATAAACACTCACGCCTGTCACCCAGAGGGGTAGGCAGAGACTACGGACTTTCATTTGGCGCGATCCTGACACACCTCTCTCGCCTCTTTTACATCCATATATCTACGCATACACGCTCGTCGGTTAAGGGTACTCCTAATCTGGCCCATTTTTAATGTATCGCCGATTTGGTCGATAAACCTTCGTCTAGGGCGTCCCTTCCCGACCCTGCCGTTCACTTCTGCAACATAAATTTGCTTTGTCACTCTTTCCTCGTTCATTCTTTCTACGTGACCAAACCACCGAAGCATTCCTTTCTTAATCCTTGTCACAACGTCATCTTGCAAACCACACTTTTCTCTTATTACACTATTTCTCACCCTATCATTCAGATTCAGCCCTAGCATACTCCTTAAGGAACGCATTTCTACAGCATTTATTCTACTCTCATGCTTCTTCTGCCAGACCCAACTTTCACTACCATACATTAAAGTGGGTAAATTATTAAATTATTATTAAAATAATATAAAGATAAACACTCACTCCTATCACCCAAAGGCGTATGCAGAGACACCGCCTTCCATTTGGCACGATCCTGACACACTTCTCTCGCCTCCTTTAGATCAATATATCTCGCTCGTCGGTTAAGGGTACTCCTAATCTGGCCCATTTTCAATATATCGCCAATTTGGTTTGGTCGGTAAACCTTCGTCTAGGGCGTTCCTTCCCGATTCCATTCTTTCTATATGACCAAACCACCGAAGCATTCCTTTCTTAATTCTGGTCACAACGTCATCTTGCAAACCATATTTTTCTCTTATCACAATTTCTCACCCTGCCATCCAGATTCAGCCCTAGCATACTCCTTAATGAACGCATTTCTACAATATTTATTCTACTTTCGTGCTTCTTCTGCCAGACCAAACTTTCACTACCATACATTAAAGTAGGGACTAACACAGCATTATGAATTGCCAAACGTGCTTTTTTTGATGCATTCTGACTTTTCATAATAGCGTGTAGAGCCTCATTCACTTCTATTCTCCTCATTCATATCTTCTATCCCTGCTAAATACACATCCCAAATATACAAACTAATCCACTTGCTCAATCAACTCCCCTTCTATTCTTATTTCACATAACGTTTTACTTTTTTCTCTTTCAAAAACCATCACGTTCGTCTTACTTGCGTTCACTTTCATACCTTTTTCTTTTAATGACCAGTTCATTAACGTAACCATCATTTGCAACTCGGCTGCCGACAATGCAAACATAACTTGATCATCAGCGTACAAAAGGCATATGCATTGGCACTCACCCATTCTTAACGCGCATTCTTCAACTTTCAAAGTTTCCAAACAACTGTCCATAAATAGGTTGAACAGCCACGGGAAAGCCACACAGCCCTATCTGACACCTCTTTGGATGCCAAACCAGTCCGAGTAGACCCCGATAAACCTGACACAAGCATTAGAGTCCCTATAAAGAGACCTTAATGCCTGTATCAAACCAGCGTTCAACCCAAATGAGTTCAAACGAGTTTGCCATAACACATTCCTGTACACTCTGTCATAATTATTATTAATTTTGCTAAATTAAAAAAAAAAACTGTGAATTTACATTTATTTAAACGAGTAAAAGTCTATAGAAATATATCGAAATAATCTCCAATATTAATTGATAGATATTAACATTTTTTGAAATTTCTCCCAAGGACAGAATCCGTTTTTGTCTACGCTACAATTTGTTAACTCCAGATCTACCCAAAAAGGCGGGTTTTTGCTTGATAAATAGTAAGTATTTCGTATTTGGTCGATCGTTTGATAAACATAATTGATTTTTAGTAAATCTCGATTCATTTTTTCGTCGTGCCATTTTTGGAAAACGATTTTCCCTCCTGGTGGGGTTGCTTCATAATGATTTGGTAATTCATAGTGCTTCAATCCCAAAGCAGCCATAACTGAATTAAGGTTTGAATCATGACCGAAGAGTACTGTCACTTTTCGTGGCGGAATATCTGTAAAAACACCTTGAATGTATTTTAATAAAGGTTTAGCTACATTTCTGCCGAGTGTGGAACTATTAAAGCGGACATTTTGGTTTTCTCGAATTATCTTAGTCAATAACGTCCACTGCTGTGCTTTATTTATTTTACCCCACGCGACATCTTCATTAGCCATGCCTTCGTAATAACTCATAATAATCGCATCCATTACGTTATTAGTCGTATTTAATGGCCCTACAATACGAGGTTCTTGTCCTATTACATACACGATTTCATTTTTAAATTGTGAAAAATCACATAATAAATCATTTTTACAAATATGAGAATTTTTCAAGTCGAGAATTTCGCTTAGGTGTGTGTAAGCTTCGTCGAGGTCTAATTCCCTTAATTTGTTTTCCAATTCCGCAATTATTTTTCGCTTTGTTTCCTCTGAAGTATCGCGAAGAATCGGATTGAAAACAGGATCCATTTTTTCCGAGTTTATGCTGTAGGCACTGATATTGCAACTTTTGAATGCACCTCTTACGAAAGCATTCGCCGATTCACGCGTGCGTTGTTTGGTGTTTGCATAAACAAATACATCGTCAGCTGTTGGACATACGGGCGGCAATAATCCTTGCTCATTTAGCCATTCTTTAAAATATTCGCCCATGTAACTTTCTAACAAAGCACCTTTGTCCGTTAAATATCCGTAATCATATTTCCATTTGGGCCATTTATGGGGTGACGTGTCTTTAAGGTTACTAGTTAGCGGAGTTCTTAAGTTATGTCTACTTAAGATAAGAACTTGTTGTAGTTTAAAACAATTCACATCTACTGATAAAATAGTGAGAAATATTAAAAATATGAAGATTAACTTTCGCGCCATTTGTCACTTTACTTTTGCACACTATTTTTAATCCTAAATTTTATACACCATTACTGTGACTCACTGACTCAATAAAACTAAATTTCGTATCAAGAGTTGAGAAACTATACAGCTGTTACGTACAGCTAGTCGTAAGTCACACTGGTCGGTTCATTCACTATCCTTTGCATAATAGCAAGAATATTTCATCATGCTGGAAATATATTAATAAACACTATAATGACTGTCTCTTACACCGTAGCGTTACGATATTTTACCGAACTAAATTTGTAGATTATAATAACACAAACAACCAGGGAATAAAATTATAATTTTTAAATTATAAAAATGTATTAATGTTAGTAAATATTGTATTAATAAAAAGATCGATCTTTCAAGCCTAGGAATTGTTAATTGTAAATGAATGTATTAGTTAATCAATATACCTATTATATATTATTCAATGTAAATACATACACCAATAAATAAAAAAGACAAAATTATGTAAAGTAGGTACAATAATAGGCCCTCTCTTTGAGACAACCTTTATGCGAAAAACTCTTGTTATCAAAGAAAGAAGAAAAAGGTTGTGTATTTAATTATACATTTAAAACACATAATGATTGCATTCGAAGATAAAAAAGTATAGTGAAAAGGATAGGACGGGAAGTATAATAGAACAAGGGATTTAGCATGTCGATTATGTAGAGGGAAGGACTTATACAATTCCACAAGCGTAAAGCTGTAAAAGAAAATGATGTTTACTATAAAGAGGATGAATGTTCAGGAGTACGGGAAAAAATATTGTCAGTAGAATGTAGACGATCATGACAATAGAAAATAAACTCAAAACAGTATTTCAAGTAACGGAGAGTGAAGGGATTGAACAGCATGTAGTAATAATCGGCCAAGCGCCATTCGGACTCGCGTATGAAGAGTTCCGTACCATCTTAATACACGTCTCTAGTAGGAGAGCCCTCTTTAATTTTTAATTCATTTTTATTTTTATAGAGACAACAACCTATTAGGGATTATAAGATATAGCCCGCTGAAAGACGGACGGATGGACGGACGAACGGACAGCGGAGGTTTAGTAATAGGGACCCGTTGGTAACCCTTTAGATACGGAACCCTAAAAAAGCATGTAACTATTCCTGCGTAGGCTTATTGGAAGATATTTAGGGTGTTTACGCCATTCTGAAATGATTTTAATTTCATTTCATTAGGTACAAAAGAAACATTTTCAAAAAAATATAGTTAACAAATAAATAAGCCGCCCGAAACAGTTCACAGCTGGACGTAGGCTTTTTCGGTTGTAGGAAGGGTTTGACTTAATAGTCGGAAGGTCACGGGATGAAATGTGGTGATGTTTTCCCTTTCGATACCACCACACATATATTATTAAGCTTAAGTAAAATTTACGAAGTAGAGCCACGCTGCAACTGGTTGTATCACTAATTAGTCAGCTCGGTCAGAAGTGAGTCGGATCAAAGAATGCCTCCATAAAACAGTAACGTGATGCTGAGGTGTTTCTTGAAGATACGATAACGCTTTTCACTAGTAACGGAACCGGCCAATCTATTTTAATCTTTAGGGGTCACAATGCAACTCCGTTTTGATTTTTCATTGAGGCCTTATATCTATAGGCCACAATATCTTACCATTTACCAACAGTTGGGCTGTGTGCTCGTTCGTCACACTCACTTGTATAAAAAAACCCGGCCAAGTGCGAGTCGGACTCGCGCACCGAGGGTTTCGAACAAACCGTAGGTAAGTTTAAAATTACTAAAAATATTTTTATTATATGATATAACTAAAAATTTTTGCTTTTCGCAATTTTTCCTTTATCTGTACTATAAAACGTTGCTTGGTACCAAATTTTAAGATTATGAGTTCACGGGAGGTACCCTGTAGGTTTTGTTTCCCTTGCGAATGTCGAAAATTTGCGGCATAAACGGCTGTATCTTTTGATTGATTCGGCTTAGAAGTATGATTTTTTGACAGCTCCAAGGGACAGTAGACTTGAGTATTTGTTATATTTCAGCTTGATACCTCCACGCGTTCCTGAGAAAAAGGGTCTTGACAGACAAACAGACAGACGGACAACAAAGTGATCCTATAAGGGTTCCGTTTTTTACTTTTGAGGTACGGAACCCTAAAAATGGCGTAAATATTGGGCTAACCTTGTCGGAAGTAATTACATGATTTATATCATAACAACATATTTCTAAATTAATAAAAGTAGTTCTCGTAAATTACGCAACGGTGTAATTGTGTGTCATATCGATAAGTGTCCGATTCGATAGTTATTCCGCATTCTGATTAAGCAAATATGACTGTTAACTAAGCGGTATTATACACAGTCTTGCGTGCGCGATTTTTATCTACGTTTGTGAATATATTTTTATCGCTAAATTTTGTATTATAGCGTTGTTGCCATCTCTATAAATTAAAATCAATTGCTATCCGTTAGTCTCGCTAAAACTCAAAAACGGCTCGAACGATTTCTATGAAATTTTTTGTGTGTGTCTGAGTGGGTCTCTGGATAGTTTATATTCACAATTAGACCCGGTAAGTGGCGCTGTTGTCGAGATCCAGAAACCACCCGTGCAAAGCCGGGGCTGATCGCTAGTCTGTAAGCAAAAGATAATATTGTCATTTGCAAACAGGTCATGTGAGATCGTGACTTAGGTACTTAAATATTTTACCGAAAATCTTGAATTTTAATTCCAGTTGATGCAAATATTTTTTTGGAATAACGGAAATAGACTTAACTCAACTGGTGGCACTGATGGTCAGTGGCTACTGCAGCCCATGGACACATGCAAGAAACTTTAAACAAAGAAGGCTGCGTTGTAGCCTTCGAGGACTAAGATCGAATGCCTTACAGCATGTATAGGATCTCTATACCGTTAAGGCAACAACATAGCAGTGCAAGCAGGAAAGGAGTTCTACTTAGTAAATTAAAGTATTTATTTTTATACCTACCAACTTGTATTATAAATATCCAAATTTGACTCCAAGCGTACTTTTAATCTTATTGTAGTAGAATGTTAATGTAAATTAACCTTAGGACAAGTGAGAACGCGCTAATATCTTTAAATTAAGTATTATACGTTGTAGAGCCATGGTGCAGCTATGTTATGTAGAAACAAACTTCAGTACACAGTTATTACTCTATATGATGTAAAAAGAAACTTCAGTTCACGGTTAACACTCTATATTTCATGTTAAATAAACACAGTTTACACTTATTCTCTTTTATTTCTCAACAATGAATTAATCAACTTTATAAACTTCCAATTTACACTAGTTCACTCCGACACGACTATTACAGTACAAATTCTATTGTATGTCCTCGGACACGCCCGTCATTCCGTTTTATAGTTTCCCTTCCACTGCCAGGCGGAAGGGTATTTTAGTAGTTTCAATACTTCTAAGTTACATATATTGACATTTCAATTGTAGTGGAATATATTAACTACTTACAATATTTAATTACGGTGTAACAATAATATATTAATAATAGGATTAATTATGATTATTAACATCTTTTATTACAACTCGGCCATCCTTTTGCTGCAACGAGTCCCATCGTGAGTTTGGTTTAGCCATTAAAAAAAATAATTTCTAGGTAAATAACAATAGCATAATATTTTTACAATAATATTAAATCTAAGGTAATATTATTCCATGTCATTCAAGCAAAAACCCTACGCCCAGTAAAGTCTACAGTGTCTGTTACCATCCACTATAGTAAAATCTTACATTCAATTTACTACCCTGGACCAGAATCAGCAGACTACACAGGACGTTGACCAGGTAGTGACCTCACCCTGAATATTGTGAGTTCACTTATCTTGTGCTTAGAATGTTATGAGCAAACTCTTTTCTATACTCACCCTGAATATCATGAGCATAAGATAATCTTATATTAATGTGCACACCCTGAATATTGTGAGCACAATAAAAATCATAAACATACATGAATAAAAATAAAATAAAAGTTTATATAAACCTGTTTATATACAATACATTGTACATTTTGTATATTTCATTTGGTATTCGAATAAACAAACAACTATTTAAACACTTGCCAAGACTATAAAAAAAAATTTAAGCCCTAGTGACACATAATGAATAAGGAATAGTAATTATAATGTGACTTAACGAACAATCAATAACTTTGGTCATCATCGTCCTTACTGCTACTGTTTGAGCCATCACTATCATCATTGGCACTCTGAAAATTTAGCCATGGTTTCAACTTATCAATTGCAACAATTGCTTCATAACGTCTACCCTTTTTTGTTAGTGGTGTATCTTCAATAATGTACCTATCATTCGGTAAAACTTTTTTAATTCGATAAGGGCCCCTAAATTTTGGTTCTAACTTACGAGACTGCCCTTCTTGGCTAGGGATAGTTCTCAAAACACTTACAAGATCGCCTACCTTAAGGGCTATGTTATTTTTCACGCGAGTTTCGGATCGTTCTTTATATTTATGTTGCTGCTTATCTATAAGAAGCTTTCCACCCTGTCTGATGGTGTTTAAGTTAGGGGTAACCTCATTTTCATTAACGTCCTCGATTATGTCATTAAGGATCCCTTCGGAAGGATTTGTAATTCTATGGCCAAATAAAAGCTCTGTTGGAGTTTTTTTCGTAATGGCATGAACAGTGGTATTGACTCCAAGTTGAACGTCAGGCAGGTACTCATCCCACACATTTATAGGCTTTTCGTGGGTCATTGCGCCGAGTGCAGCCAGAATTGTGCGATTGTACCGCTCTACTTGGCCATTCGCTCTAGGGGTGGCGACAGCGTTAAGGACATGTTTAATACCCTTAGAAACTATAAAGTCCCGAAACTTTTTGCTTGTAAAGGTTGTACCCTGATCGGTTATAAGTCTAGCGGGAGTTCCAAAATAACTAAAATGTTCTTTAAATATTCGAATAGTTGTTGTAGATTTCGTATTTTGCACTGCTGTTAAATTAACAAATTTGGTAAAGGCATCGACTATGACTAGAATATAGCTATTCCTTCGTTTGCTCTTATTGAAAGGGCCTAAATGGTCGGCATGGATAGTGTGGAAGGGTATGTCAATTTTAGGAATTGGATGGAAACTATTTACTTTTAGTCCACCAGTTGTTTTATGGTGGGCACATTCTAAACACGCGCTGACGTATTTTTTTACGAATCTTCTCATCTTGGGGAACCAATACATGGCTTGTATTCGGTCTAAAGTTTTTACGAACCCAAAATGACCTACGTTATCATGATTAGCTTTCAGAATCTGCCAACGCGCCCCTTTTGGTACCACCCATCTGATTGTGTCTGCATCCAAAATCCGATAGACCCTACCATTTTTCAACTTGTAGTTTTTGATGATATCCATAATTTTCTCTGAATTAGGATTTGAAAGTACGTCTTTGATATGTTTTATGTTCTCATCGTCATCTTGGACGGTTGCGATCCAATCCTCCGCATTTACCGTAAGGATGTCAAGAACGCGATTTTCTGTACTCACATCGGGTATAGCATGTCGACTCAATGCATCGACATGCGCCATTTTTTCGCCCGGTTTGTGTTCAATAGTACAATCAAACTCTTGAAACTGTATCCACCAGCGGGCAATGCGCGGAATTAGATCACGTTTGGTAAGGGTTGTGCGTAGTGCATTGCAATCTGTGAAAATTTTAAACTTTATGCCTAGTAGGTACACTCTGAATTTGTTCAGAGACGCTACTACCGCCAGAGTCTCTAATTCGAAAGAGTGAAGTTTCTGTTCATCAGGGTTAGTTTGACGACTATAATAGGCAATAGGTTGGAGAATACAATTAGAATTTCTTTGTAGAAGTATGCCTGCAACGCCCAACTTACTAGCGTCAGTGTGAAGTTGTGTTTCTGCTTCTGGATTATATAGAGCTAGTACTGGTCGTTGGACTAATTTTGTCTTAAGGGTTTCAAAAGATTTTTGTTCTTCATAACTCCATTGCCATTTGACATCTTTCTTCAATAATGTTGTTAGCGGTCGTGCCAAGATAGCGAAATCTTTTATAAACCGCCTAAAAAAACTCGCCAAACCGATGAATCTTCTCACATCGTGTTGGTTTAGAGGAGTTGGGAATTTCGAAACAGCATCAGTTTTAAGAGATCCTGGACGAACTCCATCAGCGCTTATCTCGAATCCCAAGTACTCAATTTTGTCAAAGAAGAACCTACATTTGCTTAACTTTAGCGTAAGCCCACCTTCTTTTAGAAGTGCGAGGACTTCCTCCAAACGCAATAAGCCCTCGTCAAAGGTTTTTGCTGGGATCAGGATGTCATCCATGTAGACGAGAGCATATTTTACTCGTGCTTTGTTTAGAATTTTATTCATTGCTCTTTGAAATACAGATGGTGCATTCACCAGCCCGAACGGCATCCTGGTATATTCGAACTGCCCATCTGGTGTTACAAACGCAGTTTTGTCACGGGACCCCTCCTCAATCGGAATCTGGTAATAACCAGATGCGAGATCCAGAGTGATGAATAATTTACTCCCACTCAGTAAATCTAGTTGGTCTTCGATGCGTGGTAAGGGGTAATGTTCTTTAATTGTTTTATTGTTAAGCGCTCTATAGTCCACACATAACCTTTTTTCCCCAGATTTCTTTTGTACTAGAACTATCGGGCTAGCATAAGGCGAAGCAGACTCCCGAACAATTCCACAGTCGAGCATTTCCTGAATCATGTTACGGACTAATTGTCTATCGGCAAAAGATAACCGATAAGGCCTATATACTATCGGTGATGAATCTTTTAGATGAATGACCATCTCTGCAGCTGTAGTGAATCCCAAGTTATGCAAATTTGATGAAAAACATCCTTTGTACTTGTCCAGTAAATCAGCTAGTTTATTCTTTTGCTCGGGATCCACAAGTCCACAGTTTAAAGTTATCGACTCATCTTCTAAGTTTATATTTAAAACAGAGGCCATGTCGTTGCAATTATTAGTTATGCTACGTGCACGAGTTATTAAAGTTCCGTGGCCTATCTCGACCGTATTGTCGCTTAAACATTGAGCCAGTAGCTTTGTTATTCCGTTTATTATTTCAAATTGGCCCGGTAATAAGAAATATTCTTTGCCCGGGGGTCCCCTGATATCCCCATGAACGTAAATAGAACCAGAAATATCCTTTTCAGATTTAGCACAAATTATAGAAAGGCCATCACGTTTTAAGACTACCTTTTCAGAAACTACAAGAGGTATCTTAACATTTTCAATTTGGAAGTTACTTCGCTTTATAATCAAATCTGAAGGGGTTTTAATAATTTCTATTGTAGGGCGCTCAGTATACGTGTGTCCAATGAGTATAGGATGGCTTATCATGTAGTCGTCTACTATTAATGCTTTTACATTTTCTTCAACTACACCTTGAATATCTATAGTTACGTACGTTACTCCTAATGGTCGATAAGGAGTATTTCCTAATCCTTTCAGAACGGGAGAATCAACAGCCTGCCATTTAACACATAATTTCTCTGCATCTGACAATCGAATTAAAGTGCAGTCACTTCCTAAATCGATATGAGCAAGAAGGACATTACCGTTGACCTTTACTGGAACTCGGTACTTCGCATTGCTATTTTCAGGTATATTAACTTCCATTACCGTTTTGACACTGGTTCCCGGTTTATCTATATGTTTAGATGTTTGGCTAATATTTTTGGGACAGTTTTCTGCAGTGTGGCCTCTCCACCTACAGTTTTTACATTTAATAGTCGGCTTAGGGCACCTGTAAAATGTATGACCCGTCTCATTGCAATTGTAGCAAGTTACTTTATGGTCAGGTTTGCTTGTTTTTCCCGTATCTGAAGAGCTTGTAATATTGGAGAGGACATACCTTTTCTCTTTATTTTTATTAACATTTAGCTCTTTATTTTGACCAACTCTTATAGTTTTAAAGTATTTTAAAAGCTGTTCTGGCTCATTAAATTGGGCTGCTTGTATGCTTAATCCAATACCACGATCCTCGATTCCATAGATTATGCAGTCTACTGCATTTTTACCAAAAATGGAACATCTGTTTAATAGGTTAAGTTTTGAATAGTAATATAATTCCAAAGGTTCACCAAATTTTGATTTTTTACTAAGCATCTCCGTTAGTAGCTCTGCATAATTTTCTCTAGATGGAAACGAGTTTAGCAGTTTTTCTTTCCATTCTCTCCATGAAAAGAAGACCGACGGCAATCCTTGGTACCACGTTTTTGCAACTCCGCAGAGTTTTGGCAAGGCATAATGGATTGTTTGCTTATCGTTCCAATTATATATTTGGGCGCACTCTTCTACTTTTTGAATCCAAGTATCGACCGTCTGTTCTCTTGTCATGGGATCAAATTCTGGTATAACGTTAAGAGCAGGAAATCTATCACTATTATCGGAATTTTTCTTGTAATCTTTCATTATATCTAACATTTTCTCAAATAAGCTAGCGTTCATGTGGTTCCTGTTAGGCTGACCATCATCGAGTTCAATCAAATGTTCGCGTTCTGCATTACGAGAATGACTATGGTCACCAGTAATATTAAAGTTAAAACTCTGCTTACTTGAGTCCCTCCTGGTTCTGCTTACTCGGGGCGTCCGGGAAACCACCCGTGATGCTGACCTCGATCGCGCACGTCTCGGCGATTTCGACCGCACGCGGAGCAGAGACTTAGACCGGGCATGGTACAATGACCCTGACCGCGCACGATGCGAAGAACTGGACCGTGCTCGGTGTCGTGATCTAGACCGCGAGTGATGCGACTGGGTTGGGCTAAAGTCTCGTCGTTCATCTCGCCTTTTCTTTGACCGTCGCGACTTTAGTCGTTTGTCACGTGGCATCTGAAACTTGCACATCCAAGTGTAAGAATTGACAATGAACGTGTTAATATGACATTTATACAATGATTTCTTATATTTACGCGAACACTAGTACACACAAGTAGTTTTATTCATTGACATCTATATGTTTACCATAAGCTTATTCCTTTCTTACTATTCATAAAACTATAAGCAAAGTTTGTTGATTTCTCACTAAAGCATATAATGTATTAGCAGCTATATACCTTTATTAAATTATATCTTAAATAGTTAACTGAGAAGGTAATAATGTATATACTAAGGGTATTCAGAGAAGATCCCGAAGAAAAGAACCCACGAATCTCGTTTAGTGTATTGATCATAGTGTAAATACTACATTACTTTAAATTAAGGTTAAGCAAAAAAAAAAACTTTTTAAAAAAAACTTAAAATCCAAATAAAGTAGTAAACGAAATTCAAAGAAAAAAAAAACATACAGTAAAAAGTACTGAGTAAACAAATACACTCGTATCTTCATTAATATGTACAAAAAAAACTTCAAATCCAAATAAATTTTTAGACGAAATTCAAATAAAAAAAAACATACAGTAAAAAAAAAACTGGGTAAACAAATACTCTGGTATCTTCATAAATATGTGTAAAAGAAACATCCTTACTCACTTTTATGGACGGTATCCCACTTCTGAGATGTAGAAACAAACTTCAGTACACAGATATTACTCTATATGATGTAAAAAGAAACTTCAGTTCACGGTTAACACTCTATATTTCATGTTAAATAAACACAGTTTACACTTATTCTCTTTTATTTCTCAACAATGAATTAATCAACTTTATAAACTTCCAATTTACACTAGTTCACTCCGACACGACTATTACAGTACAAATTCTATTGTATGTCCTCGGACACGCCCGTCATTCCGTTTTATAGTTTCCCTTCCACTGCCAGGCGGAAGGGTATTTTAGTAGTTTCAATACTTCTAAGTTACATATATTGACATTTCAATTGTAGTGGAATATATTAACTACTTACAATATTTAATTACGGTGTAACAATAATATATTAATAATAGGATTAATTATGATTATTAACATCTTTTATTACAGTTAGTTGTAAGGTGCTTTGGGGTAAATCCGAAATATTTTCTGATTAGTTGATACGATGCATATTTAATAATTTTACAACCAACTCATGTCACTTTTATTTATTGAAATACATATCTTAATTATTTTGTTATTCATCGTAATAAAATGCTTTATGTTACGTAAATACGATCATTTAAAATTTGACATATTTTTCTTCTGGATAAGGTGTAATTCCGATATAACGCGGGGTAAAACCGAAAATTCGGTAAAGTGTTCCGTTTTGACTGTCGACAGCAGGCTTAGATTTACTTTTCGTTCGTTTATACCCCACTACAAAAAGCATTGATACATACTTTATGTTTCTAATTTAACTATATTTTGCCCACTTGAATTTTCGGAATTACCCCACATAAAGTCCAGTGGTTCTAAACATTTAAGCCACCACCACGGCAGCACACCTTGCGTTTCCGTAGTTGGGCAGTTATTAGGCTAGTTAAAGAGGTTTCTTCAAACTTTTATAACAGGTAACCGAGAATAAAAGAAAATTTATACAGTTCTATATATTTTTAATGAGTCAAAGTATCCGAATTCGGGATTTTTTCAAACCTTTAAAAACTCATAACTCCGAAAATATGAACTTTATCGTAAAACTTCATAGGACCTTTTGTATTTATATTTTGCCAAGAAATATACTTCATTCTTTTTCTTTATGCATTTTTAATGGGTCAAAAGTATCCGAAATTGGGATTTTTCAAGCCTTTAACAATTCATAGCTTTGAAGATATTAACTTTATCGTAAAAAGTCACGAAACTTTTTTTATTCGTATTTTATCAAAGAATATAAAAAAATAGTCCTGTTTGAAAATAACAATTCAAGTTTAAACATTACCTACGGCATCGAGTTGCCCCATGGCAATATGCATTTATATCATCACTAGGACAATTTGAAGGGAATCGCATAAAAAATTGACGTGGCATAGTTTTCGGTACTCATGCACCTATTTCTCCTTGACTATGTCTATATATTTGGCATTGCGGTAGGTACGCCCTGCCCACTCTCGTTGGTTAAATTCGCGAACGTGTTAAACTCAACCAAAATAACAATATATGCTGACGAAAGATTGACAGCCACTGGAAAATACAATGGAAAAGTAGTTTCGATAGATCATTAATTCGTAGTTAACCCTGTGGGGTATTTCCGAAAAAAACACTAAAACAATAGCTGGCTAATCCTAACCCATAAAATAACGCTTTAAAAACGATTATTATCTATCATAAAATCAAACAATCACTAAGATTACTTAGCAAGTTCCTAAGAAAATGAACGCGGTGTAATTCCGAAAACCGAGAAGAGTTGAAAAAAGCTGCAGAGCAAAAAATATTGCCTAGTTAAGTCGTAATTTGTAACTATCGAAATTTCCCCATTTTCAAAAAGACCCCAAAGCACCTTATATTTGTAGCACGAATGGGTCGGCTCGACCAGCGAAGGACCACGCTCTCACAGAATACCAGCGTAAAATAGCAGCTTAAAACTACTGGGTTTCGTATGGTGAGTGTAATATTTAGCTAAATTATTAATTTAATTTAGGGAAAATAAAGGTGTTAAAAATTAGTTGGATAAAATTCGCGTAATAAATTAAATTGATGTCTTTCCTTGTTCGAAGAGCATCTTACGCCCTTCCTCAATTACGTGCAGTGACCCCCGTCACAACTAAAACCAACACCACTACTCCCTACACTACTACCCTAGGTAAGATTATAACAGGTCGGTAATACGACACTTTTTGCGCCTTGAAACGAGACATCCTCAGGTGAAAGAAGCTGCTGATCGCTAAGTTGCTCTTCAAACTAGGTAACGAACATCATTTTATTTTATTACGTGGATCTTAGCTTCCTTCATTTTTAGCATCTCGTTTTTAGAATAAGGGTGACAAACGAGCACACAGTCCACCTGATAGTAAGTGGTTGCGGAGGCCCATAGGCATCTACTTCTCTCTTCATTTGCAAATCAAAATGCCTCGTTTCCAGTTAAAAAGGCTCTCCGGTTTTCTACACTCACCATGCGAAACCCAGCAGTTTTAAGCTGCTATTTTACGCTGGTATTCTGTGAGAGCGTGGTCCTTCCCTGGTCGAGCAATCGGAATTCGTGCTACAACTATAATATAGCTGCAGTATGGATCTACCACGTAAACGTTATATTTTAAGTTCTATAAGAGAGAATTGTAAATGATCTCATGAGTTTAGTGAACATACGTCTTATACTTCTATGTATTTACGGAGAGAGACGGAGACACATATCTGTGTGTGATAAGCTTGAGTCTCTGCTTAGTAGTGTAGTTGTACCACTTCTAGACCACCTGAGTCAGACGTGGTTCAACGACGTTCGTCGACGCCCGATCCTAAAAAAAAAAAAAAAAAAAAAAAAAAAAAAAAAAAAAAAAAAAAGGTTTTGGCATGCTCTGATCACGAATCCGCGGTCCATTTTTGTGTAGAATGCACGGTTCCGGAGATGTGTAGATCAATTAGCTAATATCTAATTGATATCCGGTAAGGGCCTCCACCGTCATTAGCGTCCCATTGTTCCTATTTCTATTGTTCTATTGTTCATTAATCACCCTCATTGCAGCGTGTGCGTCGACTATATCAGTGCTATTGTTTATTATAATTCTTTGTTTATACAACGCTAATCTGAATCATCAATAAAACACATTACATAATTT